TTGATTCTTCTCATTTACCGCACACCAGAGTAAATCAGAAGTAACTCCACACCTATGTAAGCCGTGTGTATGAAGAGAGTCAGGCCTATGGAATGTTGAATTCTTCCTTTTCCTGTACCTCATTATAGACGGACGTGCTTTCTCAGACATCTGTGGGAAGTTGCTGCATTGGGAACAGCTATTTGAACTGTTAATCTACGGACAGTGAGTGAGACTTCTGAGACATGCTATTTATGTGTTCCTATGTAACATACTCTTTTCTCTCAGAACAATGTGGTTTATAGCTGACATAGTTGCTTTCCTTAATGAAACTCTTGTATTAAGCTCATATAAATTGATCTTTTATTCTGATAGCAACTTTCATTACCAAAAATGTGCCCTTTACTTGAACAGCACATTTCTGCAGCAGACAGTTCTCAGATTTTATTTTTCAAATACTAATTCACTTGTTAACAAGTAGAACATTGACAATTAATATAAAAATACCTTGACAGTTCCATTTGGACATAAAAAAAAAAAGCCAAAAGATTTATAATGTCAAGGTTATTGAGAACGGGAGGGAGCCATTTCACAACTAAAGGAAAGGGAATAGAGCTAATCAACAGTTACAAATCTATGATTTGTAACTGAAATTCTGCATGATACTGAGCCATGGGGTCTAACAGTAAAATTAAGACAGCTCAGAGGGAAATATAATTATATTGCTCTGTCCTTTACCTTGAGGCATTTGCTAACTATGGCAAAAAATATATGATGACATCTGAGATATCACTAGCTATGATCCCTAGTGATTCAGACAAAGATGGAGAAGGAGAAATATTAGGACAAGCTGAAGAACTGTGGGAAGAGCTCTAGGGATTCTGTTCCCAGTTTTGTACTTATGACCTCAAATTCTGCTAATATTATGACTGCCATTCAGTGACACATTATGGTGCCTTTCACGTAAAAATCACTGTAAATAGCTCTGTACAGGTCCAGCAGGTGGTAAGGGTAAAGATGTAAGAAACACAAAGGCTAGTCGCTATTTCTATCCCTGCACTTTAAGAGCCAACCACAGCATTAGCCTTCCTCTAAAGGTGGCAGTATGAGGGTATGCCATCCCACCCCAGTGCTAGGGTTGCCAAAGCCAGACATTCCAGCAGGAGTGATGGAACCTCCCCCATCCCGTCTCTTCCCCTGGAGACCCTGCCCCTGGCCCACCCCAGTTCACTCCTCTTCCCCCTCCCTCCGCCCCCCGATTGGGAGGAACTCCCCTCGGGGCTGGGAGCTGCAGTCACCCAACATAGGTAGGAAACTGTCAGGTACCCTTTTCAACTGGACTTTCTGGTCAAAAACCAGGCACCTGGCCACTCTACACCCCACACTAGTGAGGCAAGTGGAGCTGAGCCAGCAGAATGAGAATATCCACTGTACCTTTCACTGGGTGCATCAGAGCAGCCCCTGCTCTGTGCTCCCCCAATTCTCCCACATGCATTGTGCTTGTCTTAAGCAAAAGACATCCTGATCCCTATGCTCTCTTCTATGTCTTAACAAAGGGCTGTGGCTTTACAGTAACAATCTATCCTCAAGTTCGCTGGCAGTTCTCTCACTGGAAAACAACAAAGGGAAACAAGGCTGTGAATTACTGTTACAGCAGAACTTGGCAAAAAGTTGATCATAGTATGAATTATTTTAGAGTAGTCATATCTGCAATGGTGACCATTCAGGGACGCGACAGCACTAACTCTCAGCCTTATTTGTCCTTTAATACCCCCATCTGGGTGAGAACTACTTTCTTGATTTATAAATGTAAGGCATCATAAGTGGTCAATGAACAGCAATAAAAATGTTAGCATGTTTGTGTTTTATATCAGGAATTACCCATGTGTCTGAGACTTCCTCAGGAAATTCTCTTATTTCCTTAGGAAACAGATCTAGTCAACTTTTATATTCATCCAACTAGAGTAAAATAGCTTCAACGTTAAAGACTTTCAGAAGCAAATTGCACAAAAACTGCTTATTAAGCATAAAGATGTATCCCCTGAATCTTTATACTCTTTTCTAGGAGTTATTTTTCAGGCGAATGTCTGAGGCTCAAGGTGAACTCTTTGAAATGCACAAAAGTTCATGTTTTCAGATTTAGGGGAAAAGGCTATTTAGCAGGAATGCTCTTCTTTTAAGTAGACAATGTAAATAAAAATTCTTATAGTGAAGGCTTTTTACCGTTACAAAAAACTCTTCACTATGACCTGGATTCAGAGACGCATGTGAATAGCCCCAATAAAGTCACTGTGACTACTCACGTGTTTACAGTTAAGGATGTATGCAGCTTTTTTATACTTCATCATTGTATGCCCCAAACCTTCAAAGGATAGAGGATAAGCTAATTTTATCCCTACACTTTTATATATATTTGCCTTATTTAAAAAAAAAATTTAGCTTTGTAATTCCATAAATAAACCTTTACTTTCCCCCACAGTTGCTCAGCCTTGTTATTATCTACAAACTGACTTCTTGTAGGTATAGAAAGACTTACTTGTAATTTAACCTTATACAGCAAGTAGTTCTTATAGTGAAAATAATCAAAACAGAAAAATAAATCCTCTTGCTTTTAATTATAGCCTTTGGATTACATTTCAATTGCCCAATATTGTTATGGGACTAGAGGTTTTGAGAGAAAAAAATCCCTTCAGTATAAAACCAACTAGATTTACAACATAATAAAGATTTAAATTTTTAGAGTAGGCTCTGTCCAGCTCCTAACAGAGGAAATGCAAAAGTACAATATGTCCAGTTAGTAGTAGCAAGCTCAGTTCAACATTACCTTACTCTCCTACACATGTATATCAGGATCCTGGTGTGACAAACTAGTAATCAATAAATCTACTGAATTCAAAAATTTCCTTTAGTGGAAGCTTTCCTGTTCCCCCACAAAAGATCAATTATCTGAGCCTTGTGATTCAAGATCAAAGTAAAATTGTTACCAATCACAGCGTATGGTATTGCAAACACTTTTATTCAAGGGACAAACACACGAATGTGTGTGCAAAAAGACAGTTAACAGCACCAGTTCAATGAAAATACCCACCCTTCATTATAAAAAATAGCTTATCTAAAGGTAAACCTTTTTACTGGTGGAAAAACTTGATTAGACCTAGCTGATTAAGTGGAGGCCTCTCACTTCATGCACTGGTCTAGTCACACCAACTACGCTGTCATCATCTTTGCCCAAGCATTACCACAAGGTTCAAATCTTTGTGTTATCTTTTCCCCCCTTTAAATGCACATCCACAACATGATTGTCCACTTCCTGTATTCAATTCACAAAAAGTAGCAAACAAAGGAATGGCAAAAGCTAGGATTTAATTGCTGGCCATCCTGATAAACAAAACTAGATCTAGTAATGTAATCCTTTCTTGGCTACCTCTGCTCCACTGAGAGTTACTCGAGTCAATTTTGTCTCAATCGATAATGCTATGCTACAACTTTACTACAGTCATTGCATCCAGGATTGATATCAAGGCACAAATGAAGTACCATACTACTTTCAGATGGTCAAGATTTGCCTGTCCATGCTTTTCAGATGCCATTTAATATTTTACAATTGTGTACAAAGGGATTAAAAACAACTTTTGATTGTTGCATGTTTTTTTCCCTCCGTTTCATTCTCATGTGCAGGGAAAAGTTTTGCAGAAATGCACATTTATGAATCTGAATTTCCATCATTTACACCTCTGTATGTATGTCAGAAAAATCAAGTTTTTCTTCGAGGATCCTCCATCATTAAGTGTTTCACCTCCTGATCTGTCATCCATTTAATCCTGAGCATTTCATAGGAGTCTGAAATAGTCTGTTTTTTAGCAACATGAGAAACTGTCTTATAAATTAGTATATGAGGGAAGGCGGGCAGAGACACATACTACCAAGTTGTGGCTGGTGCTCAAAATAAATGGTGGGTCTGGGGCTGGCAACAGGACCCTTTTTCCAATCCTTGAAATTATTATTTTTGACCCCACACTTGGATATTTCTGATCTCCTAAATAAAATCAATGATACCATTTTGGCCTCTTACTCTTCCCCACTTTGTCCCCGGACAAGCTCTTCTGCTGTAATTGCCTCCCCTTCTCCTTCTGAAAATGCGAAGGAGTCCTTCCTGTACTCTGCTGCTTACCTTGCCCCCTTGAACAGGTCCTCCTGCAACTACTTCTTTATTTTCCCCCACCAGATTACAGGCCCTATCTGCCTTCCCTTTCCTGTTTGGTCCCAGGCCCCTGATCGGTTGCCTCCTTGTTATCACAAGCTGCTTTATCCACTGTGCTAACCTAAACCAGGGAAAGAGGCATCTGCCACTAAGGGCTTGCCTATATGGGAAAATATATTGTCACAGCTGTAGTGGAATAACTGTGCCATTATATTTCTCTATCTAGACAAGGCCTAAGTCTTAATTTGCTGAAAGAAAGAAGAGGAGATTTGATAGGTGATGCTTATCCCATTGGGCCCTCACTGCCAGCTACGATGCCTAGTCCAGCAAGGGTGAGCATGAGCCAAGATTATAGTGATGGCTTTGGTTTAATAGTTTTGGGGGTCCTTAAATCCTCTAGAAAGTTGTGTTTTTAAATATCAAAATATAGCATATTGAATGCAATTCTCTGCTAAAATATTCAAAGACATAGCTTGGATCAGTTTATCTTGTGCAAAAAAGGTAAAAGGCCACTTAAAAAGGGAACATTACATCAGAACGTAATTTGTGCTGACTGAAGTAGTTTCCCACTTGCCCTTCCTGTAACTGAGCAAGCCAGGAAAGGTGCAAGGAAACAGCTGGCGAAACACAGATGCATAAGAGTGAAAAACAAACAAAAAATTGAAGATTAAAAATGGAGGTGTAAGCAGCAGAGCATCCTCCCAGAAGTAATTTAGTTTCAATTGAGAGACAGTGAGGAAAAGAGAGTATCTCCTGCATGAAAAACCTGTAAATGTAATTTATTTAAAAGAGGATTAAAGATGTAACATAAAGAACGTACCATCTTCACTGGTGTGGGGTTCTGTACTGGCATCCTGGTCCACTTCCTCTAGTGTACCATGTTCACTATAAGGGCTATCACTGCAGAAATACACAAAGTTAAGCAGGTACAGGCAATTAGCATATGAAGCCGTGCTTAATGGATGCTATATTTGGCATAACCCTCCCCCCAAGCTAACAAGAGTAATCTATTTCTATAACAAATATCACTTAAATTTTCTTATGAAACAAATAGCAAATATAAAATGTGTGTATGTATAGGCTGTCAAATGATTAAAAAAATTAATCACGATTAATCATGCTTTTAAACAATAATAGAATACTATTTATTTAAATATTTTTGGATGTTTTCTACATTTTGAAATATATTGATTTCAATTACAACACAGAATACAAAGCACAGTGCTAACTTTATATTTTTTATTACAAATATTTGCACTGTAAAAAACAAAAGAAATAGTATTTCAATTCACCTAATACAAGTACTGTAGTGCAATCTCTTTATCATGAAAGATGAAATGTAGAATTATGTACAAAAGAAATAACTGCATTCAAAAACAAAACAGTGTAAAACTCTAGAGCCTACAAGTCCACTCAGTACTACTACTTGTTCAGCCAATCGCTCAGACAAACAAGTTTGTTTACATTTGCAGGAGATAATGCTGCTCACTTCTTGTTTACAATGTCACCTGAAAGTGAGAACAGGTGTTCGCATTGCACTGTTGTAGCCAGCGTTGCAAGATATTTACATGCCAGATGTACTAAAGATTCATATGTCCCTTCATGCTTCAACCACCATTCTAGAGGACATGTATCCATGCTGATGTTCTGCTCGATAACAATCGAAAGCAGTGCGGACCAACATGTGTTCATTTTCATCATCTGAGTCAGATGCCACCAGCAGAAGGTTGATTTTCTTTTTTGGTAGTTTGGGTCCTGTAGTTTCCGTATCAGTGTGTTGCTCTTTTAAGACTTCTGAAAGCAGGGTCCACACCTTGTCCCTCTCAGATTTTGGAAGGCACTTCATATTCTTAAATCTTGGGTTGAGTGCTATACCTAGCTGTAGAAATCTCACATTGGTACCTTCTTTGCATTTTGTCAAATCTGCGGTGAAAATGTTCTTAAAACGAACAACACATGCTGGGTCATCATCCGAGACTGCTATAACATGAAATCTATGGCAAAATAGGGGTAAAACAGAGCAGAGGACATACAATTCTCCCCCAAGGAGTTCAGTCACAAATTTAATTAATGTATTATTTTTTTAACAAGCGTCATCAGCATGGAAGCATGTCCTCTAGAATGGTGGCCAAAGCATGAAGGAGCATATGAATGTTTAGCCTATCTGGTACATAAATACCTTGCAATGCCGTCTACAAAAGTGCCATGCAAATGCCTCCTCTCACTTTCTGGTGACATTGTAAATTAAAAGAGGGCAGCATTATCTCCTGTAAATGTAAACAAACTTGTTTCTCTTAGCGATTGGCTGAACAAGAAGTAGGACTGAGTGGACTTGTAGGCTCCAAAGTTTTACACTATTTTGTTTTTGGGTGGTGTTAGAACCAAAAAAAATCTACTTTAGTAAGTTGCACTTTTGTGATAGAGATTGCACTACAATACTTGTATGAGGTGAATTGAAAAATACTATCTTGTTTATCATTTTTACAGTGCGAATATTTGTAATCAAAAATAATATTAAGTGAGCAGTGTACACTTTGTAATCTGTGTTGTAACTGAAATCAATATATTTGAGAATGTAGAAAAACATCCAAAATATTTAATAAATTTCAATTGGTATTCTATTGTTTAACAGTGTGATTAAAACTGCGATTAATCACAATTAATTTTTTAAATTGTGATTAATTTGAGTTAATCGTATGAGTTAACTGTGATTAATCAACAGCCCTACATATATATATATATTAGTTAAAGTCAGAAGCAATGTAATCCTCAGACCATGGTATAAAATCATAATTGTTACAGGAATTAATACATCTTCCCTTCAGATATCATTTCCATTTATTTAAATGGATAAGAGGGTAACTAGATATTTCCCTTCTAGCAGTACTGAATTTAGTGTATATATGTCTGGGCTTAATGGTGAAACCATTATGAACTGAAATTCTTTATGGAACCCTTCAACAAATGCAAGACTGGGACTACGCCATCTGGCCACAAACTCCCAATTGTACATGTAGACCTCTGTCAACTACTTGATGGTCACATATATGATAGTTCTCAGAATCCTAAATTAACGCCATTGAAGTTTTCTAGTTAGGAAACCCTGGCAATCATCATGGTTATATTTGCCCCACGTGTTTCACAGTACCACTTTCCTGTGAACCTTCCACGCATTAGAATTTTTTTTATTTTCATATTTCTTTTATTTATGCAGAACCTCTTATATCATGGGAGTCATTCATGTAAAATGGAGTCCTAGCATTTTGGTATGAAGACAGAAAGATAATATTCTGACTTACCAGTAGTCATCTCCAGCCATACATTTTTCATAAACAGGGCCATCTAGCTCTTTAGCATCTGGGAAAATAGCCTCATGATGGATGATGATCGTTTTGATTATTTCATTCACATGAGCTTGACATGACACCTGGTCTTGTATGTCTGGAACAGGCATCAGTGTTGGGCCAAAACATATGGCCAAGTTATAAGGATCCATCATATTCTCATCACTGTACTGAGAAAGGCTTTGGAAAAAGAATCAAGAAAAAGAAAGACTTTTCCTCTGTGACTATCCTAATTCTGAAAACTAGCACAGAACAACCTTAAATTGTCTGCACAATGCAATGTTCCCCACCCTTTTTGACACTTAGTCCTGTACAACATAGCAAAACAAATGAAATTGTTCTTCTATTGTCTGGCAATATACAACACTGGGAGAATTTAGAACAGACAGATACTGGGGGAGGGGGAGATGAATTTGAATTAATCATTTTTTAGCCATGGAAAACTTTACTAAGGGACTCTGTGTGATCTACAGTAAAGACACTGTTCTAAGTTTAAAAAAATGCAAACAACCATCGGTGAGATAGAGCTAAGGGCTTTCTGAGGGAAGGAACCCTCCCCGCTTTACTATGAAGCCATGTATATAACAAAATTTCCAATATCGGAAACAGAGCATAGCTGACCACAAGATGGTCACAGAGGGATCCTCTGGTTGCTATGCCATGCCACTCCACCTGTCCGTTTCTATCGGAGGCCGATTTTTTCAGAGTGTGGCTGGGGCTTTCCTACATCTTGCTGAACCTTGGATTCCATGTCGTCCCCTTGGAGCTACTGCTTGTAAGTTATGTTAGAGCAGTGGCTCTCAACCTTTCTGGACTACTGTGCCCCTTTCAGGAGTCTGATTTGTCTTGTGTACCCCAAGTTTCACCTCACTTAAAAACTACCTGCTTACAAAATCAGACATAAAAATACAGAAATGTTTCAGCACATTATTACTGAAAAATTGCTTACTTTCTCATTTTTACCATATAATTATAAAATAAATCAATTGCAATATAAATATTGTACTTATATTTCAGTGTATAGAGCAGTACTAACAAGTCATTGTCTGTATGAAATTTTAGTTAGTACTGACTTCGCTAGTGCTTTTTATGTAGCCTGTTGCAAATATCTAGATGAGTTGATCTACCCCCAGAAGACCTGTGCGTACCCCCAGGGATATGTGTACCCCTGGGTGAGAACCACCATGCTAGAGGACCAGCCTGATGGATACCTGGCCCAGAATTACAAAGGCTACCTTTACACACACCACCTTTCCCCCTGCAAGTTGAACTGTGCGCTCTTCAGCAGTAGCTGAGGATTGAGGCTTACAGCTCCCCAGATTAGTCATTTTTAAGGACTCAGGACCCAGTCCCACAAGGCCTGAAGTCCCGTAATTCCCATTGATTCAATTCTGCTTGGCACCCTGCAGGATTAGAGATGCAGCTGCTATGTTTGCCCATCTTTAAATACACCAGCTTAAAAGGCTTTAAACTATACTTTCTAGAGAAAACATTTGCTGCATAGCAACAGCATTGTGACATCAATACAAACTGAAAAGAGTCAAGAATTCTAAATGATCCCCTCCAATCCCGCAAAATCTGCTTGTAAAATCAGTCATGCTATCCCTTTTTTGTGTCATATTTTGTTAATGTACTCTGTGCTACTCTGAGATATCATAAATCTTGTTCTACAAATTACAAAGGAGATTTAGTCACTTGATTATTCATGAACTTTGCTACATAGGTGGTTATAATTGATTTATGAAATATGAAAGGCTACATGCTGTTGCCTCTCTGTTCTCCATAACACACAGTCGGTAGAATATAGTACAACAGACTTTTTATTTCAGCAAAGTGTTTTTTGTGCAGCCCCAATAGATCCACTCAATTTTGGAGCAAATATGAGCAAAGGAGGAATATGCTAACTAAGGGCCTGATCTCTCAATCACTAAGGGTATATCTACACTAGAGCTGGAAGTGTAAATTCCAGCTCGGATAGACACACCTGCCCTAGCTTTGATCGAGCTAGTGTACTAAAAATAGCATAGCCACAGCAGACTGGGTGGTGGGAGGGGCTAGCTGTCCCAAGTATGTACCTAGAGCTTTGATGGGATTGTACATGAGATGGCTAGCCCATGCAGCTGTGGTTACACTGCCATTTTTAGCACACTACGTCAGTCTACCTGAGCTGGAAATTCCACCTCCAGCTCAAGTGTAGATGCATCCTTAGTAAGCATATCATCATCTAGTGCTGGTAGTAGGTCCATTGCCGCTGGGGAATGGGAGGTAAAGTGGAGACTGGAGGATTGGGATTTTACTAGGGTGAATGTAAAATTAAGTGAGGAGAATGAGACTACCAAAGATCAGCAATGATTGTGGATTAGTGACGGCTGAGGTCAATGAATACTGACCCAGACCATATAACATGTATTACCTTTTATAATCCTGATCCACGTTAGGTGATTGAGGCCAGGAAATAAAAAGCAGTCTTACATGCACCGCTTGTTGTCACACCTTTATTGTAGCCATTCTCAAGAGATACAGCTGGGGTTTTTCAGGTGGAAAAAATAACTTGGCCCAAATCCTTATATTTAAAGACTGTGTGTGTGTGTTTGGAAAATCACTTATTTGGTGACAAGTACAATGGAGGTTAGCCTCAACAAATATACAGTATGTGCACACACAATTAAAACCTAACAACGAAACCCGTAGATTTAATATATTAACATTTAATAACACAGTTTATCATTCGCATCCTAGAAGATATAGTAGAAGCTCAACCCAAAACACACATTACAGTGCTGAAGGAAGGGAGGGTTTAAGGAGCAGCAGAACAGAAGTCCCAGGAGGCAGGCAGTACAGAAACAGAAAGAGCCAGAAATAGGGCAGAACACTGATCAAAGAAAGCATATCACAGTGCAAATACCAGGACTAGGAAAAAAACAGAAAAGGGACACAGGTAAAATAATCTTTTTTCCCCACACTACCCTTTCCTCTGGCCCAGTTTTTCCCCTCAGAATGGGCCAGTTTCTGATACCCCCACCCACCTCCCCAACAACTGTCTTAGTGTTTCAGTATGAAGGGAAAGAGGTGGGGTTCCTGAGCACCTGTAGCACCATGGTTATTTTGGGCAAGAGCACCAGTGAGGGAATTTGGATCTTGCTCCAGCACAGCATCAAACCACCAGCTCGCAGGTGATTTGGCTGTTTGAGTATGTTGCATTTTTTCTAATCAGAAAGTTAAAATCAGCTTAAGATAGGAGTGTAGCTGAAAAAGTTCACGTCTAAATTATGCAAGTTATTTTGAATGTGGATGTCTTTTATTTGTTGTTTTACAGCTTCAGCTCTAGTCACAGTCCTTGCGTTCAAGGCAACACTTTTATCAGTCTTACCATGACCTTGTGGTCAGTTAAGAAGAAAAGTAACTTCAGTTTGTACGAAAATGGACCTTTTCCTTCTGTTTTCATTGCCAATTAAAATACCCTCTTCTGTGTTAAATGAAGCTAAAATGTAAATTTCATGCAGACTATGAAGAAGACAAAGGAAATTTTGACACCAGCAGTGGAAGTGGGATGAAGATGCAGCATTTTGACAGGAACCTTAAGGTACTTACTGGTTAAGGAAGGCAAATAGGTATCTCATCACTATAAGGACAGACCTGGGTAAAGTCAGGAGGAGTTTGCGGATGTGAAGAGCCCTCTCATAGAGATTATCTATTCCTGTAAGGCAGAAGATAATATTTTCAGCTTCTTTTAGGAGAAAACTACATTCAGCTCAACGGTGTTATTCTTATGCTAATATATGTTGCTGGTCAACATTTTTCAAATTTTGAAAAAAAAAAAATAATGAAAATTTTGGAAAAAATCAAGTTCCCCTCCCCTTTTTGACCAGCTTTATTAATACACAATTACCAGATGATGCTTTAAATATGTCCAGCAAGTCTGCTAAAAACTAACTTACTGCAGATTTCTAAGTAAGGTAGCTCACAAAACTGCAATAAGAGGATTTTCCCCTCAAGGGTAAAAAAGTAATATTAGGAGGCTAGGAATCTCTGTCATCAGTTCCTAACACTGGCTTATTCTCTGTATTTGAATATTGAAAATATCCTTCTGATCATTGATTGTAAAGCCTTCCTGACTTAGTTTTCTCTGTCAACACTATCTCTCCAGCTGTAAATCTATTAAAGTCAATTCTAAATCAATGCCTTCACGTGTTAATCCAAAAATACAAAGTACAATGATCAGATGTGTTTTCCCTAGATAGTTTCTTTTAGGTCCATCAAAATGTTCCTGAAATAGGTAAACCAACAGCTGTGTAAAGCAGGACTGAGGCAGCACAAGAGCATTGATTTCTATTGCCTTACAACAGAAATCAGCATGTATTATTTTCTACATTGTTCAGAATGAACATGTGGCTTCATCTGGAAAGCAAAACATCTTTCGAAGTAGCAAACCTCTATTCTGAATAAGAAATCCTTGAACTCTTCTCTCAAGATATTTTCGGTGTAAATGACATTGCTAAAAGCAATTTAACATTTCAATAATGCCCCCTAAGTCAACCAAGAAATAATAGTGTAATTCACATAATTTAAACACAGTCCTAGTAGAATATTAGAATAATAGCACCTAATAACAGTGCAATGGACATTTGGTAACATTGAGAAACTGTGAAATGAGGAATTGGGGGTGAAGCCAACAGCTAAAAACCATTTGTTACAGAATACAAGATTTTTCACAGAAGAGATTTAAAATAATCACTTACCTAAAAGGTCAGTGCTAATTATAGACAGCGTTCTCAATGTTTATTTTTGGTCTTTTGATGTGCTTATTTTATACAAATTAGGTCTCATTTTCAGATGTAAAATGAGTGTTGATTAATGTTTAAATATTTCTCCCCTTAGGAAAAAAATCCAGTTTCTAACAGTTGATATTTTCATACCATAAACTGAGGACAAGCAGAGCATCACAGCAGCAGAATTTGCATTTCTCAAACAAAAGTGATGCACTTCAATAGCACTTCCTTGAAGATAAATATTTCTGCCTGGTAAACTACAGGGCAAATACTGCTCCTACATCTGCAGCCATGGAAGATTCCCCGGCAGAACGGGTGTGTGTGGCGGAGTGGGGGGGATTCGGGTTGGGGTGAACAGGGATTTGATTGCATGCAATCTAGCTCTTTGGGGATCTCTTGTGCACAAACAGATTCTTCCATCCTCTCTTTTCACTCCCTGTAGCAGGGATGGGTTGGGGCTGCAGAAGCTCCTGCAATAGCAGCAGTGGCGAAGCGCTACAGCCTGGGGTGAGTGGTATTCCTTTCCTCATGGAAGAGAGCAGCACATAGCCCAGCATTCCAGTTCTGGGGCTAGGTATGTTGGTTTTCAGAAATTGTACCTTTATTTGCTTAACCAGCAGCTCATAACTAAGGCTACGGGTTTGTCACAGAGGTCACGGATTCCGTGACTTTCCAGGACCACTGTGACTTCTGCAGCAGCTGGTGTGGCTGGCCTGGGGGCCGCCTGAGCAGTTCGGGCAGCCCCTGGGCCAGCTGCACCGGGCACTGCTAGGGCAGTCTTGGGCCACCGCGCTCCCCACCCCAGAAGTAGAAGGAGTTTGAGTGTGGGAGGGGGCTCAGGGCTGGGGTAGGGGTTTGGGACGCGGGAGGAGGTGAGTGCTGCAGGCGGCACTTACCTCAGGAGGCTCCCCAGAAGCGGCGACATGTCCCTCCCTCAGCTCCTAACCGGAGGTGTGGTCAGGCGGCTCTGCACTTTGCCTCTGCCCGCAGGTGCCGCCCCCACAGCTCCCATTGGCTGTGGTTCCTGACCAATGGGAGCTACGGAGCCAGTGCTTGGGACAGGGGCAGTGCATGGAGCCCCCCATCCCTCCCTCCACCTAGGAAGGGACATGTATGTTGCCACTTCCAGGGAGCTGCCTGGAGCCAGGCAGGGAGCCTGCCATCTCTGCCAAATCTACCCTCCAGCAACGATGGCTCCCCCGGGCTATTTCCCCGCTCTTCCAGGGCTGCCTCCACCCAGACCACCCAAGATTTAATCAGTGGTATATAGTACACGTCATGGACAGGTCACGGCCTGTGAATTTTTGTTTACTGCCTGTGACCTGTCCATGACTTTTACTAAAAATACCCATGACTAAAACATAGCCTTACTCATAACTGCCTGCCAAGGGCATAGACAGTGTAAGCAAAAAGGGAACATCAGGTTTCATAGTATGGGTCCTATCACATTCCAGCAGCATGCTACCTGTCAGGACACAGTGTAAAACAGTTACTGTAAGTCATTACAAACCACACATTGCTGTAATTAGCTGCGTATATTTTAACTCATTCCTAGTAAAATTGTCCCAATTTTCTTACCACTCACTCATTTTGGTGGAGAAAACATTCTCTACTGAAAATCTGAACACTGCACAACTGTGAATTTGGCTGCTTTCCATTGTTTATTTCAGAAACACTGATATTCCCCTCACAATTTTTGCTTTAGTTTACAATGAAAGATAGATGAGAATGCTTTATACATTGTAATCTTTTACCTAAGAATCTCAGACACCAAGGACTAAATTCTGGCTGCTTCTATGGGGGAAAAGGAGTGGATGCAAGAACCCCCTTGCATAACTGTGTTGCTTTCCCCATGAAGGGGAAAGACAGTGTTGCTTTGCCTCTAAAGGTTACTTTTCCAGAGGAGGTGTGTCGTGGGGGGGCGGTATTGTGTGTCCATAGCAAAGGCTAGCAGATCAGTTACTGTGAGGCAGGATTACTGGCTATATCAGTGCCAAGGAGGTAAAGCCCATTGCACACAAGTACAGCGAGTCTTCTACTTGCATGTCGAAGTCCTCTTCTTCATCTTCATTACTTTTGACTCTCAAGAACCATAATTTAGTCCTATCTCAACACTCCTCTGAAGTGAACTGGTATTTTTCCCATTTTTCAGATAAGATAACCTAAGCATTCATTTTAGAACATAAGAATGGTCATACTGGGTCAGAACAATGGTCCATCTAGCTCAATATCCTGTCTTCCGACAGCGGCCAATGCCAAATTCTTCAAAGGGAATGAACAGAACAGATAATCATCAAGTGATCCATCCCCAGTCATCCAGTCCCATCATCTGGCAGCCAGAGGCTTACAGACACCCAAAGCATGGTGTTGCATCCTGGCTAATAGCAATTGATGCACCCATCCTCCATGAACGTATCTAATTCTTTTTTGGAACCCAGTTATGGTTTTGGCCTTCACAACATCTCCTGGCTATGAGTTCCACAGATTAACTGTGAGTTGTGTGAAGTACTTCCTTTTGTTTGTTTTAAACCTGCTGCGTATTCATTTCATTGGGTGACCCCTAGTTCTTGTGTTATGTGAAGGGGTAAACAACACTTTCTCCACAACATTCATGATTTTATAGACCTCTCTCATAGCCCTTCCTTAGTCATCTCTTTTCTAACCTCAACAGTCAAGTCTTTTTAATCTCTCCTCATAGGGAAGCTGTTCTATACCCCAAATAATTTTTGTTGCCCTTCGCTGTACCTTTTCCAATTCTAATGTACCTTTTTTGAGATGGAGTGACCAGAACTGCACGCAATATTCAAAGTGTGGGCATACCATGGATTTATATAGGGCATTATAATATTTACTGTCTTCTTAATCTCTTTCATAATGGTTCCTAACATTGTTAGCTTTTTTGACTACACATTGAGTGGATGTTTTCAGAGAACTATTCACAATGACTCCAGGATAGCTGTTACCACCCAAGAAAGCTAATTTAGATCCCCATAATTTTGTATGCATAGTAGGGATTGTGTTTCCCAATATGCATTACTTTGCATTTTTCAACACTGAATTTCATCTGCTGTTTTGTTACCCAGACACCCAGTTTTGGGAGATCCCTTTGTAACTCTTCGCAGTCAGCTTTGGACTTAACTCTCTTGAGTAATTTTATATCATCTGCAATCTTTGCCACCTCACTGTTTATCCCTTTTTCTAGATCAATTATTATTATGTTGAGCAGTACTGGTCCCAGTACAGATCCCTGGGGACACCGCTATTACCTTTCTCCATTCTGATAACTGACCACTTATTATTAGGGTGACCAGAGAGCAAGTGTGAAAAATCGGGATGGGGGTGAGGGGTAATAGGAGCCTATATAAGAAAAAGACCCAAAAATCGGGACCGTCCCTATAAAATCGGGACATCTGGTCACCCTACTTATTACTACCCTTTGTTTCCTGTCTTTTAACCAGTTATTGAGCCATGAGAGGAGCTTCCCTCTTATCCCATGACTGCCTACTTTGCTTAAGAGCCTTTGCTGAGGGACCTTGTCAAATTTGTTTTGAAAGTCCAAGTATACTACATCCACCTACCACCTCTAATAGATTGGTGAGGCATGACTTCCCTTTACAAAAGACATGCTGACTCTTCCCCAACAAATCCTGTTCATCTGTGTGTCTGATAATTCCATTCTTTACTAAAGTTTCAACCAATTTGACTGGTACTGAAGTTAGGCTTACTAGCCTGTAATTGCCAGAATCGCCTCTGGAGACTTAAAAATATTAGCATAATATTAGCTATCCTCCAATCATCTGGTACAGAAGCTGATTTAAATTATAATATAACATACTAACTGTGGTATGCAACCTATGTGACTTGCCCAAATAATGCAGAGTTAGTTGCAGAAATGGGAATAGAACTTATGATTAGAGGAATGACCCAG